GCATCAATCATTATAATCCAATTATATAATACGTGTTATCCTAAATTGACCATTCTGCACATCTACTTTTTGTACTTTAAGTATAGTTTAATGCTAACGCTTTTGTAATTGTACTTGTAACAGTGTATGTTTACACTGTGCTATTGCTACTAAACAATCTGAGTACTTTGTATGAGCGGCATCTACTCGTTCTTCTTTATGGATTATACTAATGCTGAACTGACAAGAAGACTGTCGACATATGACACCCTTTAGCTTGTGTTTCTATAGTTATGAAACCTAATAATAATCACCTAAGGAACTGTAAATATGTATATTTCTTAAAGGGAGTCTGGTGCAGGGAGCTTTAAGTTTAATTCAAACAGCTATGTGTATTATTTTTAATTGTTATGTCGCCACGACAAAAACACTGATTTTTACAACCCTTTTTTATCCCTTTCCTTGCTTAATACTCATTCACTGTCAACCTTATAAATCACTCTGCAGGTGTGGATGTCAAAATGGATGCTGACATTATTTCTATCACCTGTCAGAGAGCTTCTTGGCGAAGCCGAAGTCGGTGAGGCGAATGTGTCCTTCGCTGTCTAGCAGGATGTTCTCAGGTTTCAGGTCGCGGTAGACAATTTCTTTGGAGTGGAGGTACTCGATGGCACATACGATCTCAGAGGTATAGAAGAGGCCAGTAGCATTGCTGAAGCGCCCGCGGCTGCGTAGGTAGCTGAACAGCTCGCCGCCCGGCACGTAGTCCATGAGCATGTAGAGGAAGCGCTCATCGTGGTGGGTCCAAAACCTGAGAAATGACAGATCACACAGGTCGAATAATTGTAATTAATGCTGAACAGTAACTTCTTCAGTCCACAGTTGGAGGGTAAAAGAGTTAAAGTGCTGTCTGACAAGTTGAGGAAATCAGATAAAATAAGAGGCTGTATCAGTCTCAGACTCCTTTATCCCCCAGTGTGGCCTGGAGCAGTGTGCAACAACTATTTCAGCTGGAAGGGCACTTCAGAGGAATAAAAACAAAGAGGGCACTGTCACTGATGAAGATGGAGGAGGCTCCAGTGTTTTCCATAAGTGCTGGCTGCTGGCCACAAAGACGATTACTGACTCTTCCCTACACTGTTTTATCTCCACACGTCCTTTTGCTTTTTCTGTTTTCCGAAGTTATAGTTAATCTACAATCACGTTAATATACTGAACGGCCCAAACAACCATGTGTACAAGCCACCAACTCAAGCCATAGGTATATCTTCCAGGGAAAATATGTTATCTATGTTATCTAAAAACATATTTCATATTTCTGTACTACCCCCGGGTGAGCTGCGTGTGTGTATACTTCAGGTAGAACAGTTGAGATGGACTAGGTCTAGTGTTTGACATTGGCAGAAATGGAATATAATATTCATAGGTATGTTTTCATTAGTATATAATCACTGAAAAATAAGAATCATGAGATTCATGGGAAAAAAATTTTTTTTATAACTGAAAGGTTATTCTGAAGCGAAACCTGAGAAATAAAGATGATACACTTACATTTGGGGCTGGGCAATATAACCAAAAAAATTGTTTAGTTGACATTAATAAAAAAGGTAGAAGAGTCACAAAAGTAGGAGGGGATGCCATGCAAGGGCCACAGGTAGGAATTAAACCTGTGCTGCTCAATAAGAACTCAGCCTTAGTAAATGGGCCGCACACTCTATAAGGTGAGGGGCGCCCCTCAAAGCACAAATTTAATGTTAATTATCTGTCATAGGGTACTGTTGTATCGATTGTCTAACGCCAAGACACTTTGCTATCGTTTTATTTCTCAGGCCTTACTTACAGTAAAGAAACAGCTGGGAAGTATAATAGTAACTGTATCCAATAGTCTGATAGTATCCAAAAGCTGCTGTTGTCTGTCTTTTAGATGAAAGTACAACACAAGAGAGAAACAAAACTCCTAACTACAGTAATTCGTGTTTTACAGAGCTCCAACACAACAAAAGCTGTACATGGTGAACCTTTTTATTTGTTTAATTTAATAATTGTTTAATTTAATAGAATATCTAAGAGTTGGAGCCAAACCCAAAAAGCCTCTCATTATACTGTGTCTGACTTTCTCAGCCTTGTGTAACCTAAGATCATAGCATACTGTGTTGTTTAATAAAAGGCTGAGGTGAAATACTTTAAAACATCTCTTATTGTTTTACGCTTTAATGACCCCATTATGTTTTGCTTCATAAATACTCTACAGTTTGATCAGGCAGCATAAGTCTTTATTGAATAAGTACTGTGTTTTATAAGCAGAAGGAAGAAATGTAAGCTATATTCTCAAAAACTATATTAGATTTTGACAGAGAAATTCAGCAAAGCATTAATGGGAGAGACTTAGAAATTGTTATTCAAACTAGGAAATAGGAGGACATTTGCTCAGGGATAAAACTGCTTCCCACTTAAGTAAAGAATATGCTCGGAAGATACAGATGCAGTGTTTTATTACACCAGATAAAGTCCAATGTTCATGATGTGGAGAGAATCATGCTGATTTCACTCAGAGTCTGCTCCTTAAGCCTTCAAATTATATTGGATTTGTATCAGTGGGGAAATTTACTGTGTTATAGAAATTCCTATTAGAATATGTCTATGATTTATTTTATTATGTATAATATCTACTGAGACAGTGGAAAATGTGAATATTCAATTAGATTTAAAAACACATTTGCTTTAAAGGAATAGTTTATTTTAGGAACTATGCTTACTCACTTCTTTTCAAGAGTAAGATGGGAGTCTGTGTGTGGATCTGGAGTCCGGAGGTGGGTGGCCTAACTCTGCATAGCTTATTGTCACAGAAACGTTGCCAGGTTTGGTACCACTGTGCCTGGACAGAGACCAAAATCGAAACTTACCGACCATAGTTAGTTCTGTATGAGGCATTACAAAAGTACTGGTCGGATGGGTAAATGCTAAGCTACGGTAACCAATTGGACCCAATTATTTCAGACCTTACTGGGCAGCATATATGCCTGAAAGCAGTCTTTCCCATTAATGATAGACTGTGGCAGCCCACCACGGTCTAATTTGTCCTGCCATAGTTACATAATGAACTGAAAAGAGACCTCTCTTTTACATTGTATTTTGCGCCGTAACTTCAACAAAGCATCTTTCACTCCCAGTTAAAGGGACACTTCACCCATTTGCATTAAGCTTTGTATCGTTAGAAACCCAGTCATATTTTTGAATGGTCGTGCACCATTCCCTCATTTTCCCCTGA